CTCGAGGCGGCCTTTGCGCGCGCCGAGTTTCCGAGCGCGGAGCAGCGGCGCGCGCTGACGGCCGTGCTCGAGGTCAGCATGCGGCAGGTGCAGGTCTGGTTCCAAAACCGCCGCCAGCGCAAGCGGCTGCGCGGGGCCTCCGGCGAGGGGCAAGGCGAAGAGCCACTCCACGCCGTCGTCGACGACGGCTGCTCCGCGGCGTCGCCTCCGCCAAAGCGGCCTCGGGCGGGCGCGGAGGCGGGCGGCGGCGGCGGCGGCGGCGGCGGCGGCGGCGGCGGCGGCGGCGGCGGCGGCGGCGGCGAGGCGGTGGCGGGAGCGGCGGCGCTGCTCGACGGGGGCGCGTCGCCGCGCACGGCGCCCACGGCGATGGAGGCCGCCGTGCCGGTGTCGGCGGCCTATTTGCCGGCGGCGGCCCATCTGCCGGCGGCAGTCACCGCAACGGCGGGTGAGGCTGTCTCGCGGGGGCTTGGGGCGGGGAAAGGCCGGCCGCCTTCCGCTGTGGAGGCTGCCGCCGAGGCCGGCTCCGCGCGGGAGATGGTGCCCTCCTCGGCGGGCGCCGCGGCCGACGGGCCGCTCTTCCTCGAGGAAAGACAGAAGCACGAGGCTGGCGCGCAGCGAGCCGGCTCCGCGCCTCCGCCCCTGCCGCGGCGGACAGAGTCGGTCAGCGCCGCAGAGGCGCCGGGCCCCGAGATTGGGGGAGATTGGGGGAGATCTGGGGAGAGCAGGGATGGCTCCGGGGCCGCGCCGGGGTGGCGGCGCTCTCTTCAGTGACGGCGGGCGCGTCTGCCGCTGCTAGGCGCTCGCGGGGCTCGCTCCGGCGCCCGTCGCCTCCCCCCCCGGCCTGAAGCGCCCCCCCGCCTCACGGGGGGCGGCCGGAGGCACGGGCGGATCGCCCCGGCCCCGACTTGCGCCTCGAAAGGCGCCCCCTTCCCCGCCCCGCCGCCCCTCCCTCCCGCCGCCCCTCTCCCTCTCCCCGGCCGCCGCCGCCTCCCCTTCTCCACCCCTCCCCCCCTCCCCCCGCGC